GTAGGGAAAAGACTGGTTGTGCAAACACTTCTTACAGAACTTGGGGAATCTAAGATCGGCCTGTCTTCAATATGAAAAAAAACAATCAGATGGAATGTTTATGTATAGTCATGACTATTACTCCTTAAATTTATCAGACAAAAGTATGAATACACCTATTTTCTTTGTTAAGATTCATTCCAAAAGTATTTAAGCATTGTTTTCTCTTATACTTATAATAAAAGATAGCTTTGAAATGACAATGATTACACATTATTTGTTGCTGGGATTTCTTTCATACGTAGTAAAGATCAGAGGAAATTAGATCATTTGGCAGAAAGGGAAGTTGGTGATATTACAAGTGACCAGAGTGATGCATGTGTTTAATTACATCTTGGGGTAAACAAGCCCACAACAAGAGATTAAGTCAAGTGATTAGAAAAACTGTGGTTCAAACATGCTAATTTAAAGTAGTATATCTTTATAGTGATGTTTTTCTTTCTCTCAGAAGTTGCTTTATTATTTTGAGCTATTGCTTTTATAAATAGACGTGATATTTTTAGAAGTTGAGTTGAGATGAAACTTAGCAATTTGAAGAAAGCAGTTTTAATGGAGGGGGAAAAAGGTCTTTATGCTGTTAATTCCTCTATTTCATTTCTTACCATTTAACCTCTTAAAACTTCCATTTTTAAAAAAGTTTGCTTTTTCTAAATATGATCTTCACCTTAGCTATTTCTTCTCCCTATTTTTGTCTTCAATACTGCTGAAGTATTTCAGATAAAATTTGACCTGAATACAAATTCCACATTGGTGGATTCCACCAGAGATGAGCTCTCAAGCTATTTGGGTGACATTTTGCCAACGCATGTCTCACCCACCTGACTGGAAATTCCACGAGGTCAGAGACCACATCTGTCTCTTTATACTGTGCCAACTTCCAGCCCAGTGCCATGGAACAGGTGCTCTGTAAATATTTCTTGAATGAAAGCACAAATTCCCCAGTTTTAGCAACCTCTCCAAACAAGAGCAGTATCAACAAAAGAAAATAAAAGGTTTATCTTTGTCATTTTTATTCTCCCTTGGGGACAATTATTTTATTCACCTGAAGCCAGAAGAATCTAGTCTGGAAAATACAGTTTTAGCTCATGCTCTAATTCAGCAATGGTGAGTAAGTATAATAATAATTGGTGCAGCCAAGCAACTATTTCCTCCCTCGGTGAATTAACCACGAAATCTCCTCTAGGCTTTTCTAGGTTTAGGGCAAGAAGTAACAGAATAGGGGCCAGCCTGT